TGCAGTAAGGTACGTAATTACGGTGTTGCAAAAAATTTATATAGAGCCACGTATTTTCATTAGCCTGGGTTGTCAAAAGGTGGCGGCCCAGAGCTACAGTTACCTATTACGTAATTGGCAGATTTTTCATTATTATATTTTAGTAAAGACAATAATGAAAAATCGGATTCTTTATGTCCTGAAAGATGTGAGGTGGGGTCTCCATGAATCACATTTGTAGCTCCAGCACATCCCATAGAAGCTCAATAGGATTGAGATCTGGGAAATTTGGAGGCCAAGGCAACACCTTGAACTCTTTGTCATGTTCCTCAAACCTTTTCTGACAATTTCTGCAGTGTGGCAGGGTGCATTATCCTGTTAAAGAGGCCATATCAGTGATCAGTATTGCCATGAAAGGGCTTTACCTGATCAGCAACAATGTTTATAGGTGCAACGTGTCAATGTAAAATCCACATGATTACCAGAACCCAAGGTTTCCCAGTAGAGCATCGCACTGCCTCTTTTGGCAGTGGATGGGTCTCATGGGCACTCTGTTTGGTCTGTGGCTACAAACTGTGATGCGCTGTGTCCTGACACCTTTCTGGCATGTCCAGCATTACGTTTTTCAATAATTTCTATGAGTTTTGGGCGCCCATGACTCTGACTGTTCTTCTTCCTTGCATCACTTCTGGTAGATACTTACCACTGGCTACCAGGAAAACCCAATCATCTAGCCATCACTATTTTGACTCTTTTTATTTGCCCTTTTTTTCTACTTCCTACACATGAAATTCAAGAACTGACCATTCCCATGCTGTCTAATATCTCCCACCCCTTGACAGGTGCCATATAATCAATGTTATTCACTTCACTTGTCAGTGGCTTTAATGCTGTGGCTGATCTGTGTAATTTCCCCTCCCTCTAGCAACAACATATTTTCTTTTTTTCTGGTGATGTGTTTACTGGTACAAGGGCAGACATCTCACATAAGATCACAGCAAAAGCTCCACCCTGCAATTTTTTCCTCGTTCGAGAATTATATTCACTCGATAATCTCACAAAGAAAAGACTATGGCAACTTTAATTTCATGCTGACTTTAAGGAGATTTTACATTACTGGCATCAGCACTTTGTCGCTGACCATGCATTGATCTCAATGAAGTGATGCAAGGCTGCAGCATTACCTCAGTGATGCCTTGCTCATTTGTTGAGCCTCACAAGATGGAGTTCAAAATTTTAATAATTTCAACACCTAGTGTGTTCCTGAATAAAGCAGCCTTCTTGATTGAAATTGTTGAATTAATGGTCTATGTAGTATGACCACTCATAACGACAGTCCCTTGGCGCCACCTACTGGTGTAGTAATGTAACACACAGCCTGACATGTCACAGCTATTCATCCAATGTCTTTCTTATATTAAATCGCATTGACTGAAATGTGTGTGTGTGTGTGTGTGTGTGTGTGTGTATTCTTGATCGATATATATATATATATATAAATTGTATATTGCATAACTAAGCTCCTGACCCCTCGTTTAAATACATATTGTGCAAAATTATTTTCAAATAGTACTTTCTCACTTCCTCACTGTTAGATCAGTTATCTCTCATTAATGGTAAATACAAATATTAGGATAAACATAAAATATTAGGATTCAAATAAGTTTATATATTATTATAAAAGCATAGCTGTAACATACCATGCATGTCAGCTGACCTGCTCACCCGGTTTTATTGAATATACAACCATTGACTCTTATTGACTCTTCTCCCATCACATTACCAGAGAATATCACATTCTGAGACTCTTACAGCTCTTGTTCAGTCTGTCAGGATACAAAAGAGAGGAACTATGAGGCAGATTACTCTGCATATGATATGAATATGAAAGTATTCCAGATACTTGATATGAAAATAAATAACTTCAACACTGGTAGTTTCATAGAAAAAGTTCAACCTGTATTTATTAATTGATTTCCTTTATAAGAGAGTTTTCAGCTGCATCTGTTGGTGCTGTTTGTAAATAAAATTTGAAAGGCAAATGCATGGAAAACCCAGACGATATCCCTGTGGTTTTCTGTTCTCCATCCCTCCCTTTCAGTTCCTCGATAAACTGAAGTCAAGTTATGACAGTGTATTGAGACACAACAACAGCAAGATTATATAAAACATCATTCAGAGAAATGTTTCCCTTGTGGATCAGGATCCAGAATACAGTGTTACGAAAGGAAGATTCCCTCTCATACTTATGTAAGTTCATAAGATTATTTACTCATTATTTGATTCATTGCTGCTCTTTTCAACAAAATGTGATTAGGTAACACCCAACTCTTCTTTTATAATGTATAATTTAGAGATGTCAGGAATTGTATTACAAATGCCAAAGCTGTTTTCCCAGAAACTCATAGTTTATTCACATTACTAAACTAAATGAAACAAATGTTCAGTTTGGAGATCACAGGAGTCATTGTGTAGGGTAACATTTGAGTATTTTAATAATTATATCATCATATATCATAAAACAAGTGACTAAAAATAATATTGTTCCTAGTTCAATTATCATAATAAACTGGTTTTATTATGGTCAAATTGTGTAACTGTATGTTGTTTGATCCAGTTCATTTTAAATACATAATTATTAGAAGAACTCTGGATAAATTAAGACCGTTTCTTCATAACTACAGATTTCATAATGTGTCTTATTTTTCAGTAAAACATAACATAAAACACCAGTGAATAGATTTGAAACTGAACATGAACATAAAATAAGAACAGAAATAGCAGAATAAACCAGAAAAGAGTCTCTCAGGTTTATAAAGCATATTCTTCCCTTCAGAGAAGTTTTATAGTTAGTTCCTGTTCTTAGTTGTCAAAACATTTACTCCCTCATATTCTTAGAAATGACAATATCCATAAGTTACTGTACCCTTCACTGAAATGACATTTGTCTTATTTTCTTTTTATTTTATTAAAAAAAAAAAAGTAAACATGCCCAAAAGAAAAGAGACTTGAATCTATTATAGCATCTTGTACATTCTTAAGACACTAAAAACTAAAGCTTACTGTAAACGTAGTGATTGTTATTAAGACATGTTGGGTTTGGGAGCAGTATAAGACCTTGAGTAAGGGGAAAGAAGCTTTCATAACACATTCTACAAAAGCTTACAAAAAGACTTATTGTAGAATTATATTAATCTGTAGAATTCAACAGAAAATTGTTCACCCCTGCAAATGTGTTTAGTTTAAGATAATTAATGGCTTCAGTAACCTCATCAACATAAAGAGGTTTCCTCTTTGCATCTTTTTACATTGTAATGACGCTATATACTGTATATTTCACATAGTATAAAACGCATATCATATTTCTATATTATCAAACAAGAAATGCATAAGAGTACAAAGTACATTTATTCTGACAAACACAACATAAAGAAAGGACACTTGTGGTACAGAATTAAGGCAGAAATATACTGACAACAAAAAATGTTTCTGTTTGAGCATTTCACGATCTCATTGTTACACAATAAGAACAAGCAGTGCACAGTGTTTTTCTGTCAACAAGAGTATCACGGCAAAAAACAGTGTAATACTTGTTTTACACTACAAGGGTGAGCGCAGCATGAGATGTGCTTCATTGAAACTGCAGCATAAAATGTGATTTTGCAAGACCTAGGGCTGGGCGATTTTGCAAAAAATGTCAATCTCGATTTTTCCAGAATGCTTGACAGATTCTCGATTGTTTTTTACGATTTTTAACTAGTCAACTTGAAAATGTAACTACAACATGATTCAAGTTACTTTTTCTTTATTAACCCTCTAGTAAAAGAAAATTCTATTCCAAGTGCAGCACACATGAAGTTGTCAACATGATGTAAATGTTAAGCAAATCACTTGTTCAATATCTATGCACAAAAGATGTAAAAACTACTACTACATATTGTACAAACTTCTCTTATACATATTATGTGTTCAGAAATAATATGAGGAAAATTATTTTAGAAAATCTCAAAAGTCAAGGTAATTCAAATTCAGAATGACTGAAGGTATAACACCAGTAGACTTTTATTAACTATAAATGTTCCTTAAAAACAACAGCAGCTTTCAGCCTGTCACCATGATGCAAACATGAAATATCAGACATACAGTAGTAGTTCTTTACATGTTTTTTATTCGATTAGGCTGCTTTTCCATTGCTTTTTCTGTGTAAGCATGGATGTGTTTGACTGTTGCGATCGCCTCTCTTGCAGTGTCTCATGCATGAAACACCATTCTAAAAACACTGCGCTCAAGTTAAAAGAAGTTCCCTTTCATGGGAACTTCGAACTGTGTCCTCTAGGGGTCGCTATGGGGAACGTCTCGTCGTGACCCGTGTCTGAAGCATACATTGAAAAAACACCAATAACACGTTGGCCGGCGACAGCCATGACATCACTACCGGTGCGACTATAGTATAAATAGGCGCCGGGAGAACACATCATTGTGTTCACGACGAGGCATTCCCCATAGCGACTCCTAGAGGACGCAGTGTCTCGTTCCCTACTCAGGGAACCATGGTTACATTGTAACCGGAGACGTTCACTCCCATCTTCTTGCATGTTTTACCTATTCCACTGCCCACGTCACATTTTGTCAAAACAAAAGTGCTGTGTGAATGATGCCTAGCGCTGAATTTATGGTCCTTCACAGAGCGCGTCACACGTGAGCGGTTAATCACGTGCGCTGACATGCGGTTGGATCGTTCTTTTCTCTTTACTGTTATCACCGGCATATTGTCGAAGTGTCTAAATCTAACATTTGGTAATATTTCCATTCAAAATCGCGATTCCTCGATTTCTAAAAAATAAAATCGTGGCAAAACAATAAATTTGAATTAATCGATAAAATCTGGAAAATCGCCCAGCCCTACATGCCACTCACACTTCTGATGTGAACATTTGTTATCATGGGTACCAGAAAACATGCACTGCTGACGCTCGAGGTGCAAGAGGCCTTAAGTTTTTTTTTTCTCCAGAAAGAAACAATGAAAGCTGTACAAATTTGGCTAAAAGTTTCATTTAAGTTGCAATAAAGTCAGAAAATGAGAGAAAGGGAGTCTAATAAAACCTTCAGTTTGCCACTGTTCCTTCTATATGGGAGCTTGAGTTCTTTTTCTCAGCTTAAATATGAAATAGGCTATTATAAGAAAAACGAATACAGATAATAGAGTAAAAACACATATTAGTAATATCTGCCACCAGTCTAATTGTGTTTCTGGTCCATGGTTTTCTTGTTCTGTTGATTCTGGAAAATAAAAAAACAACATTACTGCACTATGAAAAACATTAACAAAACAATTCATACTGTATACCAAAGCATTCAGACAGGAATTCAAGCTGTTTTTAATTTAAAACTTCAAACTTAAATGAACTATTTTTACCCACCTTTGATGATTAGTTGTACAGTCTCCTGTTCATCTGAGGGTGTGATATAGCAGATGAACGTTCCTTCATCAGCTTGAGTGAGATCGATGAGTTTGATGGAGAAGTTTCCTCTCTTATACTCCTCTGGGAAAGTTTGCGCTCTGTTCTTATACTGTGGGTCCTGTAACTCTAAAGAATCTGCACCTTTAATTAAATTATAAATAATCTCACTGTCTTTGTCTCTCCAAAACACATCAATTTCTTGAAGTTTAAGATCATGTTCAGCTGAAGAACCCGGCAGGACAACAGAACCACCAATAACAGCCTCTACTGTGACATCCAGAGACACTGAAATGAGAGAAATTGTAATTGTAAACGCACCATCTGGCATTTATACATGTGACATGAATTTATCATTCAAATTTAGTCCCTGGGGCCCGTTCTTCGTACGTTGCTAACTCGGGTAGCTGGATTTGATTGTTGATGATTTGGCATGATCTTATTTGGTTCTTCGAAGCTCATCCTGGACTTGCTGTCATAGTAACAGGTCCGTAAGCTTAAACCTGCTCGGGATTAGATCACATCTTTTTAAGAGGAATTGATATTTAAAATCTATTCCAGCAACTGCTACTCTATTACAAGTGTACCCTACTAATCCGGGGACAATCATTTAAAAAATAATTTGAAAATAATATTATAATGTTGTGTAATCTATAATACTATAGACACAGCCAGTTTTACTCATTGAAAGATTTATTCATGATATATAATTGTATTATAGTCTTACACGCATGCTGTACAGTTCACCTGAGTTGTGCATTCATTTGAGTGGTGACAGATATTATGGGAGTGGCTTGATGGAGCGCAGGAGATGCAGATAACTTGACCTTGACCCTTAAGAAATTTTAATTAACGCTGTCACATAACAAATCGGCTTCAAAGATAAAATTACATGAATTGCTAATTACAACATTAAACTAAAAATGTAAAGCCTGTACACATACTATTAATCTTGAATTTAAATAATTGGGAGTCATGTAAAAAATATAAAATAAATAAAATAAAACAGTACACATTTCATTTATCTGTTATAACATTTATGTAGTTTTGTTCACTTGGCTGTTTCCTTATAAAGATCCAGAAATTTGTCAAGTTTTTCGTCAGGTGTCTTTTTTAATTATATGATGTCATTACGTTGCTGTCTTGCCGCCAGCCAATCGCTGCATTGCTGATCGTGGTTTCAAGTATCGATACATCTGCCCTTTACGGGGAACATGAGAACGCGCAGTCATTTTAGACAACTTAATCCAGATATTTTAATCAAATCCGCAAATTCATTTGAAGAACCAAATTAGCAAGAGATCAGTTATCACTATTAGAAGATCTGGCATCTTTCAAATCATCTCAGATGTATTAAGCAGATGCTTACCTTTGTTTATCAGCACTGCAAACAAACAGATGAAACAGCATCTGCAGAAACACACACACACACACAAAATGTTTTTACTTCCTTAATCTTAGCCAGTACAGCTTGACATTGGCAACAGGCTTGTTTGAGATGCGCAGAACTGATCACCAGTGATAATGCTGGTTAGAAAGTTAGCTCTCTGACTAGCTGTGATGTCAATACTAGGGATGTAACCAGGGTTTGAAATTAACAACCGCCAACCAGCCAAATGCGGGTAAAAATCAGCTGTGGCGGGTAACGCTGTCAAATCACTAGCCAATTTGGCAGGTTACTTTTTGTAAGTTATGTTCACTCATTAATTTCTTGGGGAAATTCGTGCAAGCCAAATCTGTGCAGGTTTAGCGCAAATACTGAACTCATTACATTATCGAGAATATGGCAAACACCAAACAAAACACACCTACAGACCTGCACGCATCCGCATAAGCAACTACATTAACTTAGTGCACGTAGGCATTTAGAGTGTGTTCTTTCAGTGCATGATTCAGTCTATTAATATGCATTAAGAATGATCACATAATTCAAGATAAGGGGGCAGAAAATGTATATAGTTATATCATTTCATATAGTTAATCAATATCAAACGAAGAGTGCCGTTTTAAATAAAAAATCAGCATGGTTACAAATGTGATTTGTGAATTGATTTTATACAACTTCAATAAACAATAAGTTAATATCAAGAGACTTACGTTTTAGACACCATGCCTGCTTTTGCTCTATTTCGCCAACAAAAATAAATCCTAACACAGCCACAGCACTGTTCAGCGTGTCTGAGCAACATGACGGTGTTTTGTTCCTGAATGAGTCAAACGTTTAAATGATTCGGATCAGCCGCAATGACTCACTTATTAACAGTGACTTACTGCCACCTACTAAACTTAATTGTTTTAATTTGACATCTAATGTATCTTTTCATTTTTAAAATTATTTCAAAT